TACAAGCAACGATCATCTATTCAATGTGTAAATTATTATAATAATTATTATTATTATTGTTTGTTGTTCTTAATTAACATCGGTGACCATGGACATAAGTTAATTTTTTTTTTTTTTAATTAGGTTACACAATTTGGTTTTGTATGAGAACTTAAAAAATTGTTTGTTGTGGTCACGTCGTGCTGCATATAGGGTGTATGGATTGAAGCTAGTGAGTTCATATACGTATTGGATGCATTCTGTAATTATGTGTTCGACTGAAGGTTCAGTCCCAAAAATATTTCACTTGGGTTTTTTTTCCTTTGCTATGAGGTATCTTTAGTGATGGGTGTGGCCGGGGTCTGTAGTTAATTACCTTATCTCTTCAGTTCAGGTGTCCATTATTATTATGATAAATTTACCTACGAATTTCATAACTGCCACGTTTCATGTTTAAGTATTTAACGGTGTACAGCCAAGTATTTATCGAGATAATAATTATTATCTATGTTCGTGTTTGCCTAATGTGTAACACGATCGTACAAATTCAGCAGATCGATACCAATACAAACATAACTCAGCTAAATTGTCTGCATCGCATCGTTTCAATCGTCTGCTTTTTTGCACTTGAATAACAATTATAATTGTCGTATTTATGCAGTGCACAATGCATATAAATATATAACACATCAGCTATCTAGACGTGTGCATGTTATAATAAAATTAGACATAGAGTAAAAACAATATTGCACACCGATCACACCTGTATAATATATTCACTGTGATTTAAATTAATTTATGCAGGGTCATTGTATAAGCATTCTCAGCCCTATTTTCCCCTTTGATAAAACATTTATCAAACGCTGTGTTTTAGAACTTTTTATTATAACCAAAGACTATATTTTCAAATTTCTGATATTTTTTGTACTAATTAAGGAGTGTCCTTTGAACTCTCTTAAACTTATATTCTCACATCAGAACCCCACCTATTACTGCAAATTATTTACTGGACGATTTTATTGAAAGTGTTGATGTATCTAAATCAAAATTCTAATGAGTAGTTTCTGAGTTCATAAAATAATTATACTAAGAATAATAATCCTTAAAAATGGTTTTAGAAAAATAGAAAGTACATCGGTATATGTAATATTAAATGTAATAATTATTATACTTATATAATTTTTAACAGCTATTGACTTATATTGAAATATCAATGGTGACTACTAATATTTTCTTAAATAATCACCAATAATTTTATGTATGGCGAAAGAGCGTTGTATTTTAACGAATATTCGTGACTTCACATGTGGTGAGTAATATATGGAAGTGCACCTTATTTGTCTGATAAACGGCTAAAAACCGTATTAAGTAATAACACGATAATCATCATCTGATAATTGTTTGAGATGGATTATGTTTGTTTTTAAATTTAGTTTAATTCGTTTGTGTCAGTCGTTTTTTTTTTGTCTCGGACGTTTTTCATTTAAATAGCTTCTTTTTATCAAGAATTAGCATACGAATATAGCTTGTTATCTCAGCGTCACAATGATTGCCTCAAGATCTTTGACGTTTTGTATGAATAAATTATCAAAACTATTAATATAATCGTAGTTAGATTATCGTGATAAGAAAACTAGGGAGATTTTTTTATTACGTACAAAGTAACTATGTGGGAACTGCCTATATAATATTACTATCCCATTTGTATACCTAAAGATGTTATTAGTAAACAGTTATAATAATAATTTACGATCGAACCACGACGCGTCGTCGTTTACTCGACGAAAATACCAAATTTGACTTAATGGGGGGAAGTCGGTGGCTATGTACACAGCCACGTAGCACACACTGCATCGTACGCATCTATGCAGCACAGCGGTCTGTCATCCGATGAAACTATTTAACAATTATTTACTGTCGAACAATTTGTACGAATTCGAAGTATGTGACGTACAGTAAGTTGTTCGGAAACTTCGGTGAATATTTCAACTTTCGGGCGAATATCCTGAGCGTATCGGACTAACTCGCGATACCTCACCTTGCCACCGTTCACCTGTAACAACAGCGGCGGAGTGCCTACGATCGAATAAAATAATATAAACCTATAGGTACTTCCAAACACCAACGAATTGTTTTTCGATTGCCACTTAATCGGTCCTCGGTTTGTCCACGTGTATAGACACACATTTACGAACTGTTCCACAGTATTTTATACCTATACAATACCAGTAATTATTATTTTGAATAAATGCTTAAAATCAAAATTTTAAAATGCTCAGCTAGGTAGTAATCGTGACAACAAGACGTGTTATATACAAGCAAAACAAATATATAGTAGATGCTTATAAAGAATTATATTAACTGTTGATTAAACTATTAATGTATACCTAACCTACTATTACACTATTATTTCTAACTATAAAAATGTATACGTTTTACTAGTCAGATTTCTGTGGAAAAAACGTTCACATTGAATGATTCAAATACAATTCATTGTTTAACAATAATACATGTGAATAAACGTGAAAAAAAACGATTGCTTTTCGTGTAAGATACAAAAGTGTTTAGACTATTTAGGGCCTTTTTACTTAAATTCAATACTATTGTATGTTACAAAAAACTATGTATATTCAATGATGTAAATAAAAAGTTGTACTACCTTTAGGCTATAACTGACTATATTTTAATGCTACATACTAATTCTATTATAAATTGGTTGTTCAGTGAATTTTAATTTAATTTAATTTGTTTAAAAATCATGATAGAATAAATAAAATATTTATCGTTAATTGTTAAATAAACTTTAACTTAATTGCATTTGAATAAAAATGAAACATGAAATTCGATTTTTAAATATAAATTCTAATGGATATAATAATAATTCCATCACAATCATAGCTCCAAGAATTGTAATTTTAAATAATAATTAAAATGTAATTTATTAGTTGAGTAAAATAAATAAAAATCGTATAGTTAACTACTTGCTGAACAATGTCCAATTTATTCAAAATAGAATGAAAATAGTATTGAAAAGAACACCTATTGATACGGTTCAGTGGACCAACCGGGATTGACTGATTAACATGTTTTATCATAACTCTTGATACCGAGGGCGAATCGTCGCCACTGACATCACATTAATCAAGTTCTTCGATTATTTATTTATTATTATTTTTTTTAATCAGAAATGATAATTTAAAATATTGTATCCAACGCAAATAATTTTGCAAGCTTTATCATAAATGCGTAAAAGCGAAAATAAAGCCGACGCCTAACTCGCAAGGGTTAAGTCCGTCCATCAACCCCTCAACAACCACCTCCAAAATTAGAAATACAACATTTATACGGTTAAAAATACGTCACTCTTTGGAATTAATGTATATTATGTTGAATAATAATTAAAGTCACTACGTTAGGTACGTTACCTATTCGGCGGGCGTGCATGATAATAATATTGTTACACCGAACGAGAATCGTCTAGACGCGCAATGAAGTCGCATCGTAATCCCGTTCGCCACGATAGGTACACAAAATAATAACATTATTGCTATCATACTTGGTGTCATGGTTCATTACGAACTATAACTAGTTAGTAAACCGCATTATATTAAGTACGGAAGCTGCAGGAAACAGTGCCCGACGATACTTTTATTTATTATTCCTTTCATTATAATATCGTGTTTTATATGGCCGACGCGCGACGTCAGACTGTGTGCGCTCGTCATAATAACATTACATTACATAATATATATAATCATTATGTAATAAGTGCGACGCACAAGAGGACTGATAAATACCAAAACGATGTAGAAATACTCGTAAGTATATACAAATGTCTCGATAACAGAAAATTTGCGGCGTATACATCTTGGGTCTGTTATATAGGCTTGTTTTAAATTCGTTTTGCCAAGCCTTAACCATAATTGTGTATAGTGGTGGTCGTGTTGCAATAAATAAAAACCATTGGGCTTAACACGAGAATCGATCTATATAGTTACAATTCATAATTTGTTAATGTAATTTAATCTTCTAGTGGGTTACCTACGACTGTGCTGGTAACAAAAATTCTTAACGACAGATCATTTTAAACACATTATGGATGGTAATGTACTAATGTATGATTATAGATAACAATAAACACGAGGAACCTTTTATAGACGTCTATAGTTCCCGAGTATTGGAAATATAAAACATTAATATTTCAATAATTGACCAAATAAACGATTGAATCTTTTTTTACATTATTTCTTGACTCTATGTACAACTTGACTTAAACAAGCAATTTATCTAACTTTATGGGACCTATCTATAGAATCATTAAAATTTAATAATATAACTTAAATCGTTTTCTCAAAAATCCTCTGACCCATAAATTTAACATTTTTCCTTCGGTAGTTTTGTCTTTATAAATATCAATGAACTCTATGCCTTCTTTCTGTCAACGTATACAGACTAGTCACAATTTTCTGTGAATAAATCAGGTGAACATTTAAAAAAAATGTCAACAAACCACAAAAAGTAAACATAATATTTTACTGTAAAATTATTTGGTTTATTTATGGTAACTTATGGATCTATTTATTTATTTATTTATTTATTTATTGGATTTATGACGTGATTCGTTCAAAAAGGTTGGTTTATCTGACTTGGTACTCAATTGGTGTGCACCGGGATTTATAATGATAGTGCATCTCGGAATCCAATAAGACGTATAATATAGGCTTACGCTTCTATTTTTTTTTTAATTTCACGATGATAATATACATCTCTGAGCATTTATGCAATATTATTTATTTAATAGTACCTAATACCTATATATAATATTATGCTCATTTGTTATAGCATTTCCCGAAAGATCATCGTAACCGCGGAAATGGATGTAACACCTAACGTGCCAAAAGCATATTTCTCCTCAAAAACAACTGTGTGAAATATGGTCGTAAATTTTCCAAAAATTAATATGTACCTTCTACTTCCTAGTGTTATTTGTTTTCAATAATTTGTAAAACTTTTTGACTTACCCTCTAATTTCTTATGCCAAAACTTAAGGATAAACCGGAATCTCACACATACCGTAATACATCTTCTGTATATCTGGTGTTGGGAAAAGCGATAGCTAATATCGATAACCAATAGCGATAACATTATAATGTCGTGCTTCTCAATATATATTATTTGTAATAATACCTAATACGAGTTAGTTCTTCGGTTTCCGTCAACCACGACGCAGTAAACATATGCTGACATTCGCCGCGTAATATTTTTATAGTTATTTGTCTAATAAAACACACAATTATACTTTCAGCCTATGCATTTTAATTAATTATACAGTCCACAACATAAAAGGTAATAAAAAACAAATTAATCAGACATAACATCTGGAATAAAAACATATATTTCAAAATAAAAATTATAAATTACAGTTCTGATAAAAAAATATAGCACATTAATTGCTGATAGCATTGATAGCATATTAATATAATATTATCTCATTTAGTTTATGCAAAATAATAATTTTTATTTATTTATTTCAAAATCGTATTATTAAATCATGAAATCCAATTTTATATTCAAATATTTTCGTACAATGCAACCTCATATCGTTTACACAGATGTTTAACATAATGTTTACATAGTTAGATATGTATCAATACCTAGTACAAATCGCTAGTTGGACTTGTATAGAAAACTATTTACCAGATCACTACTTCTATTTTGCATATCGAGTGCATTTGTCTATGTTATTATTTAGGAACGATTTTACTTAACACATTTTAAATCCTGCAGCTTGTGTTGAACAAAATGACAATAATTTTCAAAATAGTATTTATCTTATTCATTATAGTAAGTACTTTGACTTAAATTTTAGTTATTTTTTTTTTTAATGATATTGTTTGTTTTACTTAGATATTTCTAAAAACAGACGCGATCAAATATCCGAACGATTTCACTCCCACTCTGTTGTCAGGAGAGTGCAAAACAAAATTCGATTTTATTGTTATTGGCGCTGGTAGTGCCGGTGCAATAATTGCTGCTCGTTTGAGTGAAGTCGCTGATTGGAATATTTTACTATTGGAAGCAGGCGGTGATCCTCCAGATTCATCGGAAATTCCACTCAAATGGAGTTTGGCATTAAATACAGAGTACGATTGGAAATTTTTAAGTGAACAGGAAGATAATTTATTCAAAGGTTTAGACGGGGAAAGATGTCACGTGCCCAGGGGATGTATGTTAGGTGGCAGTTCGTCTATGAACGTAATGTTGCAAATTCGTGGAACAAAGTTTGATTTTGACGAATGGGAAAAAGCAGGGTGCACTGGTTGGGGTTTCGATTCCGTTTTGCCTTATTTCATAAAATCTGAAAATTTTACCGACTCGACTAGGTTCGACTCAAAGATTCATGGGAACAGTGGGCCTCTCACAGTGAGTCCCTTTGAATCTCCAGATCCTGCCATAAAAACGATATCACAAGCGGCAGATTTGATGGGCTTGACCAACGTGAAAGATTTGAACAAAAAAGAACGTACGGTTGGATACGCGATGTCAGACAGCACGACTAGGAATGGACTGCGGTGCTGTACGTTGAAAGCCTTTTTAATGCCCAATAGTGGACGGCCAAATTTGTTCGTTGCCAAATATATTCGAGTCACCAGAATTCTGATCGAGGACAAAAGTGCGGTTGGCGTAGAGTTTGTAACAAAAACAGGAGAGTTCAAGACCGTCAACTGTACGCTTGAAGTTATACTATCCGCTGGCGTGGTGATGAGTCCTCAATTACTTATGATATCCGGAATAGGGCCAGCAGCTCACTTGAAGGAGATGGGTGTTAACTTGGTGGCTGATCTTCCCGTCGGCAAAAACTATCAGGACCACGTTGCCTATTTCGGGTTAGTTCTTAGTGACCGTAAGGATAGACCAATCGAAGATATTGCGGCGGAAAGTCAAAAGCTTAGAAAGGAAACATTTGATTTAATCACCAAAGGTGTTAGCACTATGGGACTGACAGGACTTCTTAGTTTTGTCGATACCAAACGCGCGTCCGGAAACCCCGATATCGAAATTATGAAAATCAGATACTCGTGCAACACAACCCAACAAATGAACACGTTCAAGAACATGTTTGGATTTTCTGACGAGATGGCAAAAGTGTACAACGAGTTGAACACGCACAGTGATATAATACTGATGATACCGATTAGTAACATCATAACCAAAACCGGGCAAGTTTTACTGAGATCGAAGGATCCTCTAGCGAGCCCGAAAATAATCTCAAACTATTTGTCGGACCAGCAAGAAATCGATACGATGATCAAGGGTATTGAATTCGTGGTTGAAATGTGCAAGAAGAAACCAATGACTGACGCAGGATACGCTTTTGAAGAGATTGTTTTCCCGAATTGCGAGGCTAAGTGGGGCACTGAAGACTACTGGAAGTGTGGTATTAAAAATCTGGCCACCTCAATTTTCCATTCGGTTGGTACCAACAAGATGGGTGCGATCGGTGACAAGACTTCAGTGGTCGACCCTAGCTTAAAAGTGATTGGTGTTGACAGAATTAGAGTGATTGACTGTTCTGCGATGCCATTATTAGTGACTTGCAACACTAATGCCGCCACAATGATGATTGGTGAAAAAGGAGCGGATATAATCAAAACCCATTATGGAAAATGAGGTTATAACTTTATATTTTTGTCACCTTTTATTATGAGTGTTTCGGGTATATTAATTTATCTTAATCATTTTAAAAATGAATATAAAATATTCTTTTTATCCTATTCCTTAAAAAGAGATTTGACTAAAAAATTAGCAGAAAAATGAAATATTTTCATTTGCAAATAGTATATAATATATAATATAAAAACATAAGTATAAGACTATACGGTTGTTGAAAAACTAAATTAAATAATTCAAAGTCAAACGATCATCTATCACATTTTAAATGATTACCCAATTTGATATGTTTTGAAATAATACGATAGTATTATTATCAGTTATGTATACCTATGTCATATTTTGTGCTCCACGATTATGATAAACCTTGAATTTAATGCCATGTGTATCTTTAAAAGAAAATATTGCACATTTTCATACATTATGTTTGATTAATGAATTTACAAAATTGTCTGTACATTTTTTCACTAGGTGTTTCGCAATTTGTTCACATAACAATGGAAACGCAATGTCAATCATTTTTATGTTAGAACGTAACATTTTAATAAACAACAATATTGGTCGCATCCGTTAGTATAGTAATTGCGGTCTATCGTGAATGCGCATTCAACGTAGTCGTACGGTAGGTATGCTACATTTTGTATTTGTATTTTATATTATACGACCATCTACTATTGTAATGAGTAATGACTAATGACTAATGAGTAATATTTACAAAATTCTCGATGAGTCGTCTCCTGCACTAGACATAGGAGGAATTGTAGGTACTAATTGTTATTGCAAACACAAATCGTTATTGAACGAATTGTTTGCCAATTTAAAAGTCCCCTGAAGGGTGCCTCTTTGATCGCTGTTCGTAACATCACGTGATTATGTGAGGCGCGACCGATTCTCAATCGAAAAATAATTATACATTGCACCGATACGTGCGATGGCCAATTGCCACACATTGATGATCCTCTACCCAATTGTTTCAAATAATGTATTAACTCTAAACGAAAACACGATAACATTAACAAACTAAAAACGGATTATTTAACGGGTTTCGTACCTTTTTTAACAAAAAATACGTGGTGGACGTAGTCGAGTGGACTATCTACCTCATTAATTTATAGATAAAACAACAACGCATAATTTGCCTAAATTCTAAAAATGTCATATATTTCTGAAAATTGTAGACTTACGGTAGATTGATTACGCCAAAACTTGGTTAAATAATTGATTCTCATAAATAACAAATCACTGCATCAGCTCATCTGAAACGAAAACATTGGAATTAAATCACAAATTTATAAATCGTTAAAATGTTCTTAAACTATTGTAAGAAAATATCCAAGTGTTTTTATAAATTTAAATTTTGCATAATATTATATTACATACAAGTGTACTGAATTTGTTTCGAGACACACGGTTTTATAATAATTTATGTCCATCATCACAGCAATTATTCATTTTATGTGTAATGTTATGTTTGTCATTCATGCATTAATTAACTTAATAAAACATCGAGTGGAAATTATATATTTTGAAAGAGAAATAACAAGTGAACAGTTTTTAATATTTATTCACTGATGTTTGTCTAAAAATTATTATTTTTTACCCTCCTCGTTACTATATTTCACGTGACCGAAATTCAATGAATATTTGTTATTTGTAGAGTAAAAAAGCGATGCATCTAGTTACTATTGTAATTATTTATAACTTATAAAACTAATTTTTCACCTGATTATACATTATTGTTTTCAAATTTGTGTGTTTATTTAGATCTATTATTGGATTAATTTAGATTTTATTATGAACTACTGGATTTATTTCTACTTGACTTTAATTACATCATTTTTCATACATATATTTCAGATCGAAATAATTTAGAGTGATAATATTATAACAATGAAGTATGAATTTTTTTTTAATTTCCATGGCAAACTACACCTGAAAATCAATCGAGCATACAAGCGTATACATTTTCATAACGACATCAATTCGTAGTATCTCACAAATGGGAAACGTCGATCATGAAACACGATATGACATATGTCATTACGACAGGTTAAGTTAGATTAGGAAAAAAGGTTTTTTTCTAAAAACAATTAACAAAGTATTGGTGATTTACACAGGTGTATAAAATACATGACATAATTCAATTACAGTTATAATACGAACAGTTCGCTGACAATCAATATTTTCAGATGTATTCTGTTATTTTATTTATTATATTTTTAAACAAAATAATTTGCAAGAATAAAATCATTGAGTCACTATATATAATTCATGTACTTTGAACATATATTGTTGACAGACATTTTAGTCATATTATTGAGTATAACATTTATATTATTTTAGAAAAATATTACAAACGAATAAGACTTACGGAGTAAGTTCTAACCAAACAGAGATGAATTTTAAAACGAGTACCTAGTGCCACCCATTAGGTGTATTGAAACGATTCGCATTTATCAAACATTATAGAAAATATTATCTTTTGTTGAATTTTACTCAATATTCATAGATGCAAGTCTATAACCATTACTTGTTTACAACTTCATAATTTCCTAGCTTAGAATATTTTAAAAGTTTAGTTTTTTTCGGTAATACCTAGGTAAATCAATGGCTATGAATAAATATTTTTGTGTTATTTGTTTAAAACACGACAAACAGAATAATGTAGGTGTATCGTTAAAAAATATTTTCATTGATATACAAATGTGTAATTTGACGCACAATAAAAATAATTTCAACAATAATTATTATCATTTACATAAAAATATTTATAAACGCTATTTACCAATCAAGAGTTTATTTACTTTAGAGCACAAAATGCAATCATGTATTTCTGCATGAAATTCGCATATACACATAATAAGCAGTTCTAGTTTAACATTATATCATTTAACAGTGCAGAAAAATATATTTTGTGAATAGATTTCCGATATAATAATATAATAATTAATAATATAATCATTATGAGATTATTATACACACAACATATATTAGTTTATTATGTCAAAATCTGTATTGTTAATTCAATATAAGATATTTAAAATATTATATTATAGTATATAAAAATTAAACAATGATACAAGCAGTTTCATAATTTTATTTTTTTCAGTGGAATAAACTAAAAGTTGAAACTAAATCATGATTATTGAAATTATTGTCTTGATATTACAAGTTAATTGTATTTAAACTTTTATATCATTCTAGTCTATTTGGAAATTCGTATGCCTGTTCGATATCTTAAAACTTTTTCGACAAATTCAAACGTAAAAGAAAATGTTTCCATTCTAAAAAAATTACCGAACCTTAGATATTTGTTTGGCAATCTTTTTGAAAACTACTTGGCAATTCTAACATACTACTCGACTATATCTATGTCCACTTTAAAATCGATAGAAGTAGAGTTTACAAAACTTTCCAAACACAAAAAAAGTGTTTTTCTTGAAAATAACACATTATTTTAAAACCAATAGCTTTTTTACTCTTATAAGAATTTCAAAATAAATATTTTATTAAAAAGATATACTTTTAACTGAACGAAGTGAACTCGATTTTAAACTTTTTAGTTTCAAGTTGAGATACCCGGAAGTCAGTATAAATAATGAGAATTAATGAAAGAATCGTGAGTGGTAACAAGTGCTGTGTTACAGTTTAATGGAACTATTAAAATCGAAATAAATTATTATCATCTCAAATGTCAAATATATTTCTTATATCACAGCTGTTTTCGAATCACAGTGACACATAAGGTACTGAGACCTGCTGGTCATTAAGGATATGAAAGATCGTTAATCACTTTTGAACTAAAAATAGGCACTACAAGTTGAATACAGAATCAGATTTAGACTTACTTCATTTTTTTTACAACCATCCTTAAATGACTCAACATTTATATTTATAGATATTCCTGAAATAAATATAACTTTAAGAACAGCTGTGGACGGTCTTGCTCCACAAACCTAATTAATAATCACATCCATTACAAAGTATGGTCTATATATTATGTACAAATTCCGCATATTATTAGGCTTAAGCGAATCATAATTATTGTGTAATTAACAATGGAATTAACACATAATGAATATCTCAAAAAGATAAATGACTCACAAATTACCTATGTAAAATTAATTATGTTAATGAATATAACATATTTTTGCGATTTAATGTTTAATATTATATTTTATTGATCAACTTGTTTTGTTTTGAGAGCAGAAAGTATTTGAAAATTAAAATCATCAGCGTATCCAATATACGTCACTACGCTTTACTGTTATTCTCATTATATCACATAATATTGTCCTCTCCAAGCGTAAGAACCATATTATCAATATTTAAGTTTGTTGCCTACAGTAAATGGATTTAAAATCTCTTTACCGAAAGTAAAATCAATTTACATCCTACGCTGCTATAAATGCCTAAATCTATGCTTTCGAATAAAAATACAAAACTATAACGTATAAAATATAAAATATTTTCGTATATACATTTTTTATTGTAATATCATATATTTATATAATATACCTTGAATTTGAATACCTGTATTGTTATTCTCCCTATAAAAATGTTTTAATGATTTTGATCAAGTACAATTATTTATTAATACAAACATAAATTATAATGATACATACATTTTGAATATTGACATTATAATTTTTTCCTAAATAAGTTGACTTTTTCTTTGCCACAAAATACTAGTTATATCTTTTGAAATTTCAAGTCTTGCAAACCGAAAAAAAATACTTATAAATATTATCAGTAGTTACATTTTTAATTTAATTCGTCTCACAGAAAATGTTGTAATTCATTTCCATCAACACTCTTTTTAAAACCTATTAAAATACAAATTAGCTTACACACATTTTCTATATTTTTTCAAACTCCAGCAATTGTGTTATTCACTGGAATCCATTTAATATGTACATATTATAATAATGTATGATATTATATTGCGAGTATATACAATATTTTAAATCTTATAAATATATTTCATACCTACTGTAAAACCAGAATATTGATGAAATAAAAGGAGTACTCGTTCGAATTGGGTTACAAAAACAATTATCTGTGCGTTATACACTACATTTTGGAATTGTATGATACAACATAAGAGTTGTTCACGTTAAAAAACGCATGTAGTTGATTACGTTAAACAAAAACAAAGTAGTACAAAACTACAAAAGTGATTGCGTGTATACATAATATGTTTCTGATGGGCACATTTATCGATGTCACCCATTTTTCGGCTGTATTGGACATCAAGTCCAAAAGTTTGGTATATTTTTCATTTATAAATGAATGTGTGTGTGTGCAAATGTGTTTTCGACATTTTGGTAAGTCATGGGCGTGTCAAACGTGGCAACTAGAGTGTTACCCGATTGCGTCTGAGAATGACCATTACTTTATGTCCCGTGTGCATCCAAAGAAAAACACATGGTATTTTTGATAATATTAGGTAGAATATGTCCTAGTTCATTTAGAGTTACCCAAGGTGCATTACGGGGAGTTAAACTTGCTTGCACCCCAACAAGTATTTGGATTTTTATTATTTTTATGTTTAATTCCATACTTAAATGTACACCTTAAGACTATAGGTTATGTTTTATTGTTCTTCAGGTTGGTATTTAAATGCATTTTTTTTGGGAAAAACCACATTTTAATATTCTCTAGTTCTTTAATGTCTACTTCGATGACATTTTCTTGCATGTACTTTCTCGTTGACTTCATGTGGTCTGCTTGAACTTTTTTTAATATTTCTATAAATGTATAAATATCATAATATGTATGTTTTTAAATATATATTGATGGGATATATAAAATAAAGATTCGCATTTAGAATGGAAAGTGTTATAAGGATTTATCGTCTTTTTAGAATTAAATGTCATTTATGCCCACATAGAGGTAGGGAATTTCGCTTGCTCAAAATCTATATAGTTTTCATAAATGTAATTTAAAATATTAGGTTTTTAATGTAATTAATAAAATAATTTACACATGACTCATTATTTGTTAGTAAGTAAAATATGCACTAGGTTAAAAATATTTAATGGCCATTTATAAACCATATATTGTAAATACAATTTGGTTAAGTATTATTTTTATAACATTTTAATAAAACAATACTGAAATATTCTTTTTACTTATCATTTAGTCTTTAGAGTACTTAAAGCATTTACATTTTTTCCACATGAAAACATTGCGAATTAAGGTTATGGTAATTTAAAATAAAAAATTGTTCGTTGTCACAAGTTGTAATTTCTAATGAGTCCAATATTTCGTGCACATTTGAATACTACATTTGGTATAGTTTTGGTCTTATTGCTAAATATATACTTTTCTGGAAGCATTTCATATAGCCCGATACAGATTTTGGCTACAGTCCGACGAAAAACATGGGGTATTCAGTACATAATTTTTCGATAAATGCACTAGGTGAATTAAATATAATTGGTCGATAAGACAATAAAGACGTGCTTGGCTATGAAAAAGGTAAAAAATCTGAACATTCCTATCAATGCTTTTACTCCTAAAAACGGTGATAAAATTCATAATCATCTTGTTGAATACCAAAAATTTCATATAACCTAAAAATGTTAACAAAAACTCTTGTTTGATTGGAAATACTAATACAATTTAACCTTTATTACAATATCATACAAATATAACCACTCATTTTAGCAGTAATCGTCAGATCAATGGATGAAAAAAAATATATAAATTAGTAAACAAAGTTTGCTTTCCGTTATTCCATTTCGCGGGTTGTTGTTTTATTTTTCATCGTGCGATTGAGCCCTGGGCAAAAAAAAACCCGGACGGAGAGAGGAGTTAATTGATGGTAATTTATTGTTTTTAAAATGCTAAAAACGTCAGAAGTTATTTACAAAATGTTTTGTTATTAATATAATAACCCACGAAAATGAAAAGTAATGGTAAAACCTAAAAGCCAGGTTAAATCAATTTTATTAATGCTATTATTTATTCAAATATATGTTTGAAGAACTTGAAAAATTAATTCCTTTAATGATCTGCCTAAAAACTTTGCTTATATTTCATGAAATCAAAATGTAAAAAGTTTGTGCAGCCATATCAATGTTCAAATAAATAATATACACACCATCCAAATCGTAATTAAGTTATTGACATGTATAAAAAACAACAGCAAAGTTCGAACATACAAATGTACAAATGTGCCACTAGCAAAGTCATGTAGGTAAGCCTCCCAATCATATTATTAATATTTACATCTGTGCTTGTGAACAATATTAATAATTATACCTTTTAGTATTCAAATTTCTATGTTTGAAGTCGTGCCGAGTTATTTGTACATGAACGAGTTCAGAGTTATTAAATATTATGAGAATGTGTAGCTCCCGCAATGTTAGATAACATTTGATAGTGAACGATTATTTACAAAGCTTTATACATATTAATTATTGTTTTTGTTAGATACTCAACAATAATATTATAGCCGGTAAATCATTATAATCATAAATAAGAACATCCGTTTCAATAACGTCGCTCGCCAAATGACAATAACGACCCGTCCACGAACTGCGATGCTGCTACTGTGTCGTTAATATTTTAATCTGAAACCGATCGACCCAATATCGAGTTTACGAGATAAATAATAATAATATATATATATATAGGTATTATATTATTGTACCTGCGTAATATGGATTCGACTAAATAATAATATATATCGTTATCTATGTACTCGCGTGCTATACACAAACACCTACGTATAATAACTAATAATATTATTATGTAGGTAACTCAAATTCAATTCGAAAACGGATGCAACCAAAGTAGAAACGTCCGCGTTAGGGAAATAGAGTAGAAACGTAAACCACGATTTGGAGAACTACTACTCTACTGTATACCTACATATTTTGTATGTGTGTACACCGTATACTGTGTACAAGGGTATTATAATACAACGGTTATAACATCCACGGGCTATCTGAAGGCAACAGAGAAACCTCAATCAATCACAGTAA